GTAGTTGCCGCAACATCAATGGCATACTCATTGCCTGGCTCTACAAGCACCTGCAAGTCTCTTCCATGGGTCAGCTCGCTTGTCTTGTGGAAAGATGCACCAACATCGTCTGGAACGGCACTCACACCTCGCTAGACCGACATGGTGTGCGCGTTCAAGCAGATCAGCTCGAGTCATGGTCTCATTACTATCGCTCCGGGCATTCCATCGATTACGAATCCGACTCTGATTCCTCAGAAGACTCCTCGTGCAACCAAAAGGCGCCGCGAAGCATCAGATCGGATCCACCCGCTTATCTGCGCCGCATCTCTCACCCAACAATCGCCAAGCACACAGTCAAGCTCAGGATCAACATTCCGGGCGTCCCTGGCGGCTCACTTGGGTCCGATGCCGCTGGCCCATCCAGCGATGAAGATGACTCCCCGTTGCTAGACCCGCGAGGATTGGATGACGAAATGGGTCGCAGAAGAGCTGAACAGCGTGCGTCCGAAGCAAGGGCAAAGACCGAGCGACGCGTCGACCGCTTGAGATTAGCCGCACTGCTACTTTTGTGTGCGCCACAGACGGAGGAAGTGGACGTGAGTGCAAGCATGGGCTTACTGGTCGTATGAGATTCTCATGCAAGCTCCTTACCATTTCCTCCAAAGTTCGAATTCTTCGCGCTTCACCACTCTGACCTCCTCCGAGCGCGCTTCGCCTTGTCAGAAAGTCAGATTTTGGCCAAGGCCATCTCACGACTACAGCGCCTGAAAAGGTTCCGCTGGGCACCACCCTCGGACCCATCGTTGGTCAAGGGCTTCAGCGTAGCAATCGTTCCGCTTGCAGTCGCAGCATTAGAGCGCGGCTTCAAGTGGGCTATATACCGCCCAGACTATGCAGGAAGTCATCCTCTAAAGGAGATTGATCTGAGTAACGTCACTTTTGAAACTCGTCCCTGTTTGAGTGGAGGAAGTCATACCTTCTTTGAGGCCTTGCGCCCCAAATACAAGCCATATGCTGAGGAGGATGAACAAAGTTTCCCGCGACACATTCTACTGGATGCCTACGTCAATCTCGAAACCATCCGGGTCAGTAGCGCGACCGGTTTTAAGAGCCAAATGCTCATCTCGCGCACGCTAGAGCCATTTTTACATGAGGCGCACGAATTTCGGATAAAAGGCATTCTCAACATTCCGTCTCGGCGTCATCGCGATGAATATCCTCGGACGCGCTTGGAGCTATCAAACGTCTTTGAGAAGGCAACGATCTGGTCTGAGCACCTCGATGCAGCGGCCCTTCGCACGAGGATGGCGCAGCTGATCGAGGGCAAAAAAGAGATTACATGTAGTCGGGACGAGTTGAGCAATCTGAATGACGCCGAGTACGAAGCTCTGAAGCGCAAGATGGACACGCTCTACGCCGATGCCATCGAGAAGGTGATGGGCAGGATAACCATACACAATCGCGATGGTGCGATAGCTGGCAAAGCGGCGGACATTAATCGATGAAATGAGCATCATCGTGAACTTCAAGAGACCTGCCCCCCCCCC